ACCCTAACAGGACACCAGCAGAGCTGTGCACATCCATCCCCCAGGGAAGCCTGCAGCCCCACTAGCAGCCAGTCGAAGCTGGCAGACACAGGACCTGGTGTCTCCCAGTTGTCAGCAGTAGGTTTGTGCTGCAGAAGAGGGCACCTCCAAGGCATGCAGGACAACACTCAGTGCCCAGCCCACCACCCCCTCAGCACCCGTCCCTGCAACACAGCATTGAGTCACCACCAGCCTACAGCACTGTCCCCTGCCCTTCCCCCACAACACAGGGGCTGGGCCCACCAACCTTGTTCTCTCCAGGGGCCATGCTCTCATAGATCTCCTTTAGCTTTCCATAGTGTGGGCGGAGGAACTTCAGGGGCTTGGGCACAGAAGTCATAGAGGTGGTGGAGGAGCGGATCTGCCTGCGTAGCTCCTCCAGCGCAGGGCGGTACAGGGACGTGTCCTTCTCCTAGAGGAACAAGCCGCACCTGTCGTGGGTTGGGGATGGAGGGGGCTGGCACCCGTGCCCTCAGCCCACACACACAGACAGCGCTAAGCAGGCTCTGCTATCACACCTGCGCTCATCAGAAGCAAGCACAGGGCTGGCTTCTACCAGGTGCATCTCACATGAGGCTGTGAATGGCCAGGGGGGTTCAGCCATGTGCTTGGCAGGCAGACTGCCATTACATGGACCCAAAGCAGGCACCAGGCCCTATGGGGCCACGATAAGCCATGCCACCCCCAGCTCTGAAATCCACCCAACTGATCCCAGGGATATACCAGGGCGAGAGCATAAGCTTTGTCCATACCCCAAAGGCTGGTGACCCTGGCACTGCCAGACCCAGCGAAAGAGGGAATGCTGCAGGCAAGACCCTCACCATGGGGAAAATCTGAACTCTCCTCGAGTGCTGGGATGGGACAAGGCTCCCAGGCCGGCTGCTACCACAGGGACAGCGCTGCTAACTAAAAGGAGCTGACAGCCATGGCTACGGTTGCCATACGAGCTCAGCTCACCCCTGGGCCCCAGAAGGTCGTCAGCAAATGCGGGCAGCGACAACACGGTGGGAGGAAAGGAGGATCCCTCAGGGCAGAGGCCGGCAGCAGGACACAGGCAGCCTCCTTCCCACTGCACCGACCAGCAACAACCCCTTGCCCTCGCGCAGCGCATGCAGCACTGCCCGCTCACTGCAGGAACCCAACGGCCCGATGCCGGCATGAAGCCGAGCGTGCACTCACCCCCAAGCGCTCCACCAGCATCTCCAGCTCATCCTGCAGCTGTTTGTCTTCCTCCGACTGCAGCGGGACAGAGGCACAGCCATCAGCTCCGGGCCCAGGACCCCCCCAGCCCCTGAGAGGGCCCCCCCGACGCGCAGGGCCGGGGGCCCAGGAAGCCCAAGACTGAGAGGGGGCGGGGGGAGCTGCTGGCCCCGTCCCGCAGGTCAGGGGTCAGGGGTGAGAGGAGGCCGCCGCGCCAGGCCGCAGTGACTCAGCTCCCCGCCCGCCCGCTCGCTTGCCAGCCCGGCACGGCACGGCCCGCCCTGCTCTCACCAGCTCCTGCTCCTTGTCGCCCGCGGGCGGAGGGTCCTTGCGGTCCTTGGTCCACGGCCCCGCCGCCTTCTCGTCGCCACCACCCGCCGGCGCCGAGGTGCCGCCGCCTTCCTCCATAGTGCTCAGTCCCACTGCGCGTGCGCGGGACGCCACACACCTATCGCGAGGCGACGCGGGGTCCACGTGACCAGGCAACACGGGGAGGCGGGGCTTGGCTGTGTGATTGGCGGGAGGGGGCGGCGGCGCGCACGTGGGGGGGCGGCGTGGGGCTTGTCGTGTGTGCGCGCGCACGCGCTGGAGCTGTGTGTGGCGGCTGGGTCCGATGTATGTGGGGCATCACAAGGCAGACGGGGCCGGTCCCACACCTGCGCAGTGGCCCCGGGCACGCTTAGTATCAGACCCCCCTTCACCAGAGATAACAATAATAATGCTTGGACAAGAAAAAAACAAAATACCATTTTCAGGCCGCTTTTCTGTCTGGGCCTCAGGCAGCCACCTGGCTCGCCCATGCCTTTGTCCAGCTCTGCACCTCAGGGGTCAGGTATGGGGGCCATGGCTGCGCTGGAGAGCACCCCACCCCACCCCAATTTGGCTCTGGGGTGATTGCACTGCAGGCCTGAGGCCATACTTTGGGGTGCAGCAAGCACCTCTTGAGCAAGACATTGGGAGTGAAGGAGCCTTGAAAGCATAGCTGGGGCCTAGCCAGGCCCTGCAGGGGGCTGAGACACCGCCTTCCTTCCCCTCTGCTGGTGGCACAAGACAAGGATGTCCTGCCTGGTGACCAGGGTGCCCTGTGGACTCCTGCAGGCCCTTCGCTTTGTTGGAGCTTTCCCTACAGCAAGGGAGTCAAAGAGATGGACTGTAGGCTGGATCTAGTCCAAGGAGCTCTATCATCCCACCCCCGTGCTGCCCATGAGCTACAGGCAGCACATGGGGTGCACCGGATGGCCCCATGGGCTTCATACAACGCCCACCCAGCTGCTTCAGGATCATCTCACAGCCAATGTCCAGTCCCATGCATGTCCTGGAGCAGCCAGAGCAGGATGCATGCCACTCCATGACATGCCGAATCTGGCCTACAACACGTGCCACATGGTCCCAAAGCAGTGTGCCCACTCCACAGCATCTGGCACATCCTCTGGTCACTCCGGGACCCACGTTGGGTCCAGCATGAAGCAGATGTGCTAGAACAGGCCCTATATACAGTGCGGTCCTGGTGCAGCCAGTCCAGGACACCTGGCCACCCACTCCAGCTGCCAGGATGCATGAGGGATCTGGCATACAGGGCTGGTCTGTGGGCCTGATTGGGCCCATGGACCAGGCCCATACCACCCCTCCAGCCTGTGGGCCCAGATGGACGTGACTCCAGGGGCAGGGCCTTTCGCTGGGAGCAGCAGTAGCTGAGTCCTTGCTGACTAGTGGGGCTTGCCCAGGTGCCAGCAATGATCTGTGATGGAAATGGGAAGGACTCCCTGCCCCTCGGGAGCCCAGAGGGCCCTGTCACAGGAGGCTGCACCCTGGACTCTGCTCAGTGCCCTTAGCTTGGCTTTCCACGCCCCTGAGCTCCGCCAGGTGGCGCTCACCTAGCTTCCTACGAGAGCCATCCTGCCACTACATCCACCAGCCTCTGTCCCTACCTGTCCCCACCTGGCAGCACATCCTCCAGGGCAGGGACACCAGGCCCCGGCTGTGAGCTTATACACGGGCACAGAGCCACCACCTTCTTGTACAACCTTTCCTGGCGCACTCCTCCCCTGCTAGCTCCTGCTGCCATGTGGCCCCCAACACGTGCCCCTTCCTGTCCTTACCCATGGGCACCCACTCAGGCCAGGATGCTCCCTGCTCACTTGCTATGGCTGCTCCGGCAAGAGCAACACAATAACCTGCGCACAGCAGAATGTTTCACCCCTCACCTGTTGCACAGCAACAAGGGACCTGGCTTATTGTACATGTCCTGGTCGCTGGTAGAAGTAAAGGGGTATGCTGCACTGCAAGTGTGCCTCGGCATCTGTGGGAGTAAATAAGCCAGGGAGAGGGAGAGAAAGAGAGAGAGAGAGAGAAAGTGTGTGTGTGTCAGGGTGTATATGTGCTAGTGAGTGTGAGCATGGGTGTGTGAGAGAGAGAGGGTGTACACGTGCCAGTGAGTATAAGAGAGTGTGTGTGTCAGGGTATACATGTGCCAGCGTGTGTGTGTGTGTATTAGGGTGTACATGTGCAAGCACATGAGTCTAGTAAATTAATGTATGTGTGTCAGGGCTTAAGTGCACCAGTGAGTGAGTGTGAGCATGTGTGTTTGAGCATGTGTGTGTGTGTTAGGATGGAAGTGTGTCAGGATGTGAGTGTGAGCATGTGTGTGTGCCAGTGAGTGTGAGCATGCATATGCATGAGTG